CACTTCTTTCGTATTTGGATAAGTGATTTTTGGTTTGATTTCAGTTGACTGTATTCAGTCAAATTGTTGAAGTGAAGGCATTTATTGCAAAGCTTCCTCTTAAATAAGTGAAGGATTAACATCTATACTTCTGTACTAATATATTAAGAGGATACCAATTTCAATTACTGCTTTGGGTGTACACATTTTGTTGTACAATTTCACCATTACCGTTTTGGTAGCTGCTTTTATGTTATGATAACTATTTCACATTTTGTTGTACAATTTCACAATTTCACCTTACAGTAATGTCGATTCATAGGTACAACAATGCTTGTGTTTCCACTACTTTGTAATAATAAGTTTGTAATCATGAAAGTTAGCTTATTTTAGGGGTTAAAAAGGAAACAATTTGTTAGGGTATAAGGTGGGAGGTAATGAGAAGGAGAAGAAAGGTAGGAGGGAAGTGAGGCCGAATGGTATTGATCGTAAAGGCCGAACGGTGGAAGGCATGGGGAGGTTAGGCCGAACAGTGGGAGGCATGGGGAGGTTAGACCGAACGGTGGACAACGGGGAGCGACCAGGCCGAACCGTGGGAAGCAGAGAGAATATTTAGTATAAGTTAATTAGAGTAAATAAATATAGTATAAGTTAATTAGAGTAAATAAATATATATTCAGGGAAATATTCAATATAAGATATTTATAATTGTTATTAGTGGACTCTATTTCATAATAATTAAGGATATATGCTAGGATAATATATGGGGAGATATTTATATTAAATATAGGGACATTTATATTAAATGCATATATATTCTAGGGAAATATTTAATAAGAGATGTGTGGGAATTAATTAGTATAAATAAAGTTAGAGTCTAGGGTTAATGGTAGGCTTTTGATTATTGAGCTTTTGACAATGATTTTTTTTTTCACAAAATAATTCTGTGCTAAACAAAGGCTTACTTTGGAAGCCCTCAGCCCTATTTATTCCGTATCCAAGATTCGGACTTTGGGTCACTTAATTAAGGGACACAAGTCACTACTACTTATGCTAACAATGTCAAATAAAATTTAAAAATCTACACTGTATCTTGATGGCAGTGCAATCAAAATATTCATAAATTAATATGTAATGGAAAACAGAATATTTCCCGTCCATACTAAATTCGTAAAATTTAAAGGAAAATCTTGAAACATCTTGTTTGATTTGATATGGTGGACAAAGATAAAGCAATACTAAGTCTAAACTTTTCAAGGCTCTCATGTTTCTGCCAATTGTTAAACTAAGCAGTAGTTGCACCATATGGGTGCTTATAATAATAATATAGAATGGCTGCAAGACCCCTTAGCTAAAGGTTAGTTTGAGAAAACCCCCAATATGTTCCGAACTCAACAACTTGATACCTGATTCTTATTGTGGGCTGCATACAAGTGAGGTTTAGGGGGAAAATGACCTGATTGGATAATTTAGAATTGGGTTAGGTTGAGTTGGTTTTGGCATATTTTTGTTAACTACCCAACTGAAACGATACAAGTAAATTAAAAATTATTAAAATTTGGCCTAACAAAATATAAACTGAGATACAATATATGTTTGAACAAATTTCTATGTACATCTGAGAAAGAAAAGAAAAAGAAAAAAATTGAAATGAATTTCTCTGTAAGTTAAAATTAAAGTATTTATAAATTAATTTGTTAAAGTCTATCGTATAGTTTTTCTAAATTCTTATTTTCAATTTGTGAATTAGCTATTTTTAGCTTATGAAGGAGTTCATCTCATTTTTTTCTTATTTTTGTTTTGTAGCAGTGCTTATGATAAGTTTGTCCAAACAGGCCATATTTTGCATAGAATTTTTTGTGTATAGAATCGGCGGCAGTTACTAATCTATTCACCTATCTACAACATCGTGTGGTTTAAACTATCTTTTTCTTTTTTCTTAGGTGGAAACTGTCTTCCATGAATTTGGTCATGCACTTCAGCATATGCTTACCAAACAAGATGAGGGTCTGGTTGCTGGTATTAGAGGAATAGAGTGGGATGCTGTTGAATTACCTTCTCAGTTCATGGAAAACTGGTGTTACCACAGGTAAGTAAATATGTCCATGTGAGGTTATACCCTTGTCTTGGTCGGATGTTACTCTTGACCTTCCTTTTTTCATAACGAGAGTTAAGAAAGAACTTCTTGGTGTTATTCCCAACTGTATATAATTATTATTATTATTATTATATGCTTGATTCTCTTTTTTATCAATGTCTTCTGAATAACTTTTGCCACATGTGCTGGAAAATTGATTCTTTCCAACTATCCATTATCCACGTCAACATTGCTTGTTCTTGCTTTTAAATTCAACATTTCAACTTCTTTTCATTTCACCTTTATGCTTTGCATTCTTAGGCTTTTTGTTTTGAGCCAATCCCTTTATCAGTGGTACTCTCTGTTCATAAATTTGAAACAACAGTAGCTACTAGAAATCTGTCTAATAGACAAACGTGTATGCTTTTAAAAACCTTTCCATAAAAACGATTTTCACACTCAACCTGATTTACATCTAGTTCTTCTTTTAGTAACTCTTGAAAGGTTTCACTATTCTCATCAAATTGATTATAACAAGTATTCTTTACTGTTGGCTTACATGAATACACCAGGTCACTCCTGAAATAATTCTTAATCTCTTTAAGATTAAGAATGTCTAGTATACTTCAACAGTAAGCTGTTTCTGCCTTTCACGAGTACTCTTTAGTTATCACTCTTTGCTATGAACAAAGATATGTTTGAATGAAATTTATAGGAAAAGTTCCTTTAGGGAGGATATACAAATAAACACTCTGTTAGGAATCCGAGAATAGGATCCTAACCGTATCTCTCGCTCACTGATACGCACTCTCGCACAACAGGAAGAATCAAATAATGGGTATATTATTCTATGAAATGAATAAAGAGAACATGTGTAAGACGAGGGCCTAACCCCTCTCACCAGGTGTTGACACCGGTCTATACAAAGTATATGATTTTTCTGTCTAATCACAGTATAATGCGCTATTCCTTTTATACCCATACTTCCTGTCTTTTTCTAACTGCTAAGGCACTTTCTAACCCCTATCACACTCCTTATGAGAATCTCACGTCCCTTGGTGACGAATATTACAATTTTTTTTTCTTCAAGTCTACAAGGTTGTGTAAACAGCTAGCTTTTTACATCTGTATGCTCACACACAACTTTTGAAGTTCTTTTGCATGAAAAAGATAGTTTATTTTGACTGTTCTTGTTCTTCATGCAACTGAGTTCGGCCTTTTACAGAATGTTCATGCTTGTAACTGTTGTCTGCTGTTCTTGAGCATAAAAGGTCAAATAACACATGAAGTTCTGTTTGCAATTAATTAAATTGGTGAATTCTTGTGTATCTTGTAACTTTAATATATCTTAATCAAACATTAGTACCTCAATTAATCTTATTTGTTATCATCAAAGCAGTTAATGGAAGAGCTGTATGATATGACTAGACTGTTCGAGTTCAAGTCTTGCAAAATTAACATTACAGTTTTTGAATAAAAAAACATCAGGTATTTTGTGTTTATGATATTTCGTTTTTACTATAGAGAAACATTAATGGGCATTGCAAAGCATTTTGAAACTGGTGAGAGTCTCCCTGAAGAAGTATATTTGAAGCTTGTTGCTGCTAGGACTTTTCGAGCTGGCTCTCTAAGTCTTCGACAGGTCAGTGTGAATGTAATGGTTGGTTATTCCTTTTTGTAATTTTGAAGTTGCGGATGTTACTCTCCTTAACTTTTCAATCAAAGCTGAACTACTTCATTTCTAATTCAGAACTTTATTATGTGGTAACTAGTTTGTTCATGTGGGTTTGGTGGTCTAAAAGTGGTCTGCCTCAGTATAGGTTCATTTGGGACCTCCCATCCCTTATTCCATATTCATTTACATAAATATAGTGCTTTGGCAACCCTGCATCCCGAAAAAGTAAAATCTGCACCATGGCTTTACTATATTGACTTTTCTGTCTGGCTTAAATATTCTGTTAATTGATCCTAGTATTTTATTTATCAATGCTAATTGTGTCCTTAGTTTCTTGTATCGTTAAAATATGCATTTTCCCATGATGTCTTCTAATCTGTCTATAAATATAATGTGCAGTTAAAATTCGCAAGTCTAGATCTGGAACTTCATACAAAATATGTTCCTGGGGGACCCGAGTCCATCTATGATGTTGACCGCAGAGTTTCTGAAAAAACTCAAGTGATTCCTCCATTACCAGAGGACAGGTTCCTTTGCAGCTTTAGCCATATATTTGCAGGTTTGCTGCACTTCTTGTTTCTCTATGTAGTTGGTAATTATGCAAGTGTCTCAACAAAAAAAAAATGATTTTTGGGGTTTCCATTTGTTAGGTGGATATGCAGCTGGATACTATAGCTACAAGGTATATTCCGCATTGCTTTAGTGTTGATTAACATTTCTTATGTCTTGAGGATCTCTTTTGAATGTGTTTTCCACTCCTTTTCTTTTATGATTGTGGTAGACTCCCTTTTCCCCTATAGAAATATCCCTGTCCTCTAATGAATGGAGACAGATCTATTTGTTTTTTATGGTAAATTTGTCTGTTATGCAGTGGGCTGAGGTGCTGTCTGCAGATGCTTTCTCAGCATTTGAGGATGCTGGATTGGATAATGACAAGGTACGTTTCTTTTTTCTGTGCGGGATGGAGGACCTATACTGTTAATATTGTTGCACTTTACTGTTTATGGACTTGCCTTTGTCTTTAATGAACAAAATCCTTTCCATGTTTAATACTCCTGATTAGTAGTATGAGAATAGGAGGAAGAAAGTGGAAATAGGGAGTGTGAAAATAATTGTTGTTTGGTTGAACGGAAATAGAGTGAAAATAGGATGGAGTCCAAAACTAACCTTTTTACTCTGTTTTTTACATATTTTCATTCATCTTTCTATCTTTCCTTATTATTCCTTATTTTTCTCATATTTTCATCTGCCATTTTTATTTCTATCCAATCTATTTCTTTTTTTTTACCAAACAAACCCTAAGAGGACGCCATCATTTTCCTCCCCAGAGGACTGGTTTGACATAATCTGCTCCTTGAAATATTGGTGAGATGGACTTTAGTCTTCTAAAGAAATTTGACGTCAATTTAGTCCCAAGGGAAATTTTGATGTTACTTCCCGCAGTTGGAGGACGATAGTGATTTCAGTTATTTTTCAAATGACCATAGTGTGATAATGGAATCTTAAAATGAATTTTAATTTGTAATTTATTAAACTAGTAGCACTGTTGAGACATCTATGGATTTATGTATGCCTCTGGATGTGGCATTACAATGGACAACCACATTTCATGAAGTTACTACTGGTCAAATTAGCAGTGTTTATCCTACGTTCTAGTGTATAACAATATACAATGCAAAGGTTGAGTTTTGTTGCCCTGGTTTTGTTTTTTGTCTTGTGGTTTTGCTTTCCCTTCTATTGTAAAAGAGAAAAAAATGATACTTCAGCCATACTTGATTTTGCTCACCTTTGTTGTCATACATGTTACTTGCAACTTGGTATTGGTATATATATTTATTTTTCAACTCCCCTTGCCTTCCTGCTTCTTTCTTATCAGTTAGTGATCATATGACTCAAACCCAAACTATCACTGATGGTTTAGTGTTTATGATAATAAGGTTAAATTACTCATTCAGTGACTACAGTTGAACAATATATCTTTTATATTTTCTATACTTGAAAATAATTTATTTTAGTGTCTATACACACTATTTTTAATCTCTTTTAGTTCCTACGATTAGAATCAATGATTTTTTAATATAGGGTTTAAAAGATACAATTTATAAAACTATTAAGATGAGAATTAAATGAATATTAGTGTTTCTAATAATGATGTCCATTGAGTCCTCAACATGGAGCCTAGATGGGCAAATTTGTTTCTCCTTGGCCTATGATTCTTACATGTTTGAGTTTGATTATATGCACAGGCTGTTAAAGAAACGGGGCACAGGTTCCGGGAGACCATTCTTGCTCTTGGAGGTGGCAAGGAACCACTGGATGTAAGACAATTTCTTTTGTCGACTGTCATAAGACAGTTCAATGTGTTGTTGATTATGGCTATACTATTCCTGTTCACCTAATGTGTTGAACATGTAATAACGGTGGTGTGGTGTATGCAGGTTTTTGTGCAATTCCGTGGCCGAGAACCAACACCAGATGCATTGCTTAGGCACAATGGCCTATTACCAGTTGCAGCTTCATGATAGAGTTGCCACTTTTATACTTAATATAAATGGGACTCAATTACGGAAAGAAAAAAAGGGAATCGTACTTTTTTCATTTATAGTTTTTCTTACTCTTTTGAGTTTGCTTTTACGACACTCAAAGGAATTTAAATTTGAAAAATGATTATTCTGCCATTTACATTTCAACAACATCCCCTTATGATTTATGGTTTATTCGCTTTCTGAAATAAAAGTCGACGAAAGAGCGTGAGAAAAACAAGTAGAAAGAAAAATAGCAGTACGAAGACTGACATAGAAGTACATAATTGCACTTTTTCTCTTGGTATCTTTCCAATTTCAATCGGAAAATTTTAGGGGGACTGATCTTTTTATTTTTTAAACTTTCCTTTCTATCTTTTCAAACTACCAAACATTATTAAATTTTGTGTGGTTAATGTATAACAAAATTACATTTTTGATCAATTAAAATAATAAAAAGTATAATTGTCAATTACAGTAGTAAAGGAAATTTGCTAGAATTTTTCGACTTAAACCAACAATATCTACCCAGGAAGAAAAGGTTTTTCTTCTTTACCCTCTTACCAAAAAATTAAATTACAAATTGTTCTTTTGGAGTTTTCAAACTTTATTCACTCTTTCTGAAAAAACAGTATTGAAACTTTAAGGTTTTATAGAGACATTCAAGAACATGCAATAAGATTTATCATCTAAAATGAAATTTAATGATTCTGAGAATGAATTAGATTACATGGTGTTTGAGAATGAATAGAGTGAAGAGGCCTAGAATTGTTAGTGGCTGGTAGATGAATGTGAAGGCTACGTTCTAACAACTTCCATTCCTTGCCTTCACGTCTTCCAAATAGGTGGCTGCCCTATCTACCATCAACAAACGTTTCTTTCAACTTTTTATCTTCCATTTTCTTCAATGCAAAATTATTAAACAAAATCAAAATGTAAGTAATACTGAATTGGCTTCGAAAAGCTCAAATGAAATACACCAGACACACCACATAAATTATTTATTGCTAAATTAATCCTATTTAAACTATTACATACTTGAAGAACTGAAGAATGGTCTCCAACCACTTGATGCTTTAGGAGAATGATTTAGGAGAATTTTTTTATTTCTCGTGTTTTTCTTTGATTTTTTTCTTCCAACTTTTCGCCTTTTGAAACAAGCGGGCGTAATAATGGTCTTAATGGATTACAAAAATTCTCATCAAGTCTTGCCATTTAATTCACATATTTTATCTGTAACAAAAATTAAACAAAAGAAAAATCATACATAAAAGTTTCATAATGATAACCTCCACCTAAAAGAGGATATGTTAGTTTGGCATTAACTTTCTCTTCTCTCTCACTGGCAATAATGAAGTCAACCCTTCATTTCTTTCCCTTTCCTTGCCATTACCATTTTTCAACTAACTCACTTTGTGTTTCTGCCACTGCAGAAAGCAAACAAAAATCTCCATATCAATTTTACTCTGTCAAAAAAGGACAATAAAAAATATATTTCAATTGAAAAACAAATAATTTAATATCATAAAAGCAATAGAGTTAACCTTTGTCAACTTATGATTCAATTTCCATCCACATATCTATCCTTGTCATTGTGTCAGGCAAGAATATTTATCACCTAATTTTGAAATCTCAGGACAAAAAAAAGTGTACTCTAAGACAAATCTCACCTTGTAATAAATTAGTAGTCTCCACTAAAATCAATCACTATTGGTAAAACAATATAAACATACAGTAAAAAAATGGTCTATTGTATAATAATTAATTTGAGAATAGAATTTAAAATAATGTATAATTGATTACATTTAACAAAACTGTAGATATATATATTTAGCCGTGTGAAAGAGGGGGAGGAAGTAAACTGTGCATTTTAATCTGCAGAGTGCATTAGCATTGGATCTGAAAGCGAGCTGAAGAAGAAGAGAAAGAAAAGGAGAATGGCTCGCGCGGGAGGGATAACAAATGCAGTAAACGTTGGAATCGCAGTGCAAGCCGATTGGGAGAACCGCGAATTCATCTCTCATATATCTCTCAACGTTCGTCGCCTCTTCGACTTCCTTGTTCAATTTGGTACCCACTTTTCCTTCTCTCCCAAACTACCCGTCACGGTGTCGTTTTGTCTATCCGTGAAACCTCATCACCATTATGTCCTTCACCTTATTGGGTATCCCATGAGTGTTGGAGCACGTTGAATCACGCCAAAAGCATTTCAAAGTTTGAATTTTTATTCTGCCCCTCTAAAATTTAATGTGTTTTTCAGAGGCTACGACGAAGAGCAAGTTGGCGTCTCTGAATGAGAAGCTGGATGTGTTGGAGCGCAGGTTGGAACTGCTCGAAGTTCAAGTGGGCAATGCCTCGGCCAACCCTTCTCTTTTTGCCACATGATTTTGTGTTGTAATACGGCTTTCCAGTAAGCACTCTCCATCTATGATGTAAAATCTAAACGCAATTCTTAATATGTAAGTCGTTTATAAATCAAAAGTGAAGTGTTTGATCATTGTCATGCTTTGTTTTGTAACTATAGCTCTTGGTTTCTCTATTTACTGTGTGATCCTCTATTTTACTGCACTGCTTTATTTGCAAGTTGGAGTTCAAAAGCACGGGTTGCTGCAATTCTCAGATTCTTACCCTGTTTGCCATGTGACTTAACTCACAATGCCTCTTAACTTAGTCCCTTCCAATGCCAATTCCAATGCCATTGTATATTTGTTTGGATAAAATTCTCTTGAGGCATCTATAGAAAAAGAATAAGTAGAAAAAGAAAAAAAACTCCGTAACCTTAAATTAGCCGAAATAGGGTATGTAAATAAGTTATGAAAATCAGCTTTTAAAAAAACTAATATAAGAAGGTTTCTATAAACCAACTAATATATTAAGTTAATTTTAATTTTCGTTTTCTTTTTCTCCTTTTTTTTCCTTTATAAGTGTTTTTAAAGAAAATTTATCTACTTAGGCTTGCAGTCCCTTTCATCGTAGCCAGAGTGTTTTCATTGCACCTGTCTAGTGCTTAAGCTTACATGATAAAATGCTGCCACCTTAGTTTCATTTGCGACATTCTTTTAATGCATAATCAATCGCTTTAGGTTTGAAGCATAAGTCATCTTAGATGTAGTAAGTAATTGAAGAATGTAGTAATTGAAAGAATGCATCAATTGATTGAGAGTTATTATTATACGGGGTTTTGGAAATATGAGAGATATGAGATATATGAGAGATATAGGAAATATTTGTTGTATGGAAGAACTTGTTATTATTTTATTCATGCACTCTCTCTCTCTCTATATATAAAATGTAACAAAATATCAAATATTTATAATAGACCAATCTTGATTTCCTAAATCTAAATAATTACTAATTTTTAGAACTAAAAGATATTTTTAAAACTAGAATATTTCCTAAAAGCTAATTTAAATAATACATATATTAAGTAAATATTCTCAACAATACCTTCCACTTTGTAGGTAAAGGAAGCTTAGTTGAAAGAATACGGATTTCTTGTCTACATATAAATGGATTGTTACATACTAATTTGGGGATGAGATGTGACGTAAGTTAGACCACAATTTAAAGTACCATTGATACTCTGTTCTTTGTTTTTAATCTGTACTGACTGTATACCATATTTTTTCTTCAAAACGGTCTACTGAGTTTGACATTTTACATATACACAGTGAGGAATGTTAACATTGCCCCTAATAGATTTTTCGCTCATTCCCAACAGCATTCCTTTTATGCCTTTTATGCCTTTTCTTAAGGGGCATAATTTACAACTTGGAAGAAACAGTGTGATTTAGGATTATGAAGTTGATCACGCAAAACCCTCAGTGATTAGTTGTTCAATATGATTGTGTAGGTAATTTTTCCTTGGAGGGGAAAAATTATTATCACTTTAGTGTAACGGTGGAACTCAAGCTTGCCTTTTAATCAGAAAATAATTTCTTATGTTAACTTTTAGTATTGCTTCTGCATAGTATGGAAAATATGCTGTCACTACAATTTCAGACCTTTTCTTTGGTATTGTCATCAACACGTTATTTATTAATTAGGGGCATCCCAGGTGGGGGGGAAAGGGGAGGAAGAAGAGTGTCCGAACTGAAATGAAAAATTTCCCTCTTTTCTCTGAAACGGAGATGAAAATAACTTTGATTGAATCAGGCGACCCTGATAATCTCTTTTGCTCCTACATTATCTCGTTTAAACCAGCATCATTCGGTCTCTATGTACATTTTGAATGTATCTACTCAAGCCTATTATAAATGAAAAATTTGTTCCTGCAATCGTTTTCTATGACTTTTTTTACGATTGGGAAAAAGATAAGGAGATATGGTAAGATAAAGACATTAATGTAGAGAAAAAAATTAAGTTGTGGAAAAATGTTAATAGAATATATTGTAAGGATGTAATAACTCGTTAAAAACTATGCTTTGTCACAGTCAATCATTTGTTCAATAATACCCATCAAAGAATAGATGTTTCAGAGGGACGCTATAAACTCAGAATGAGGATTGTTGGTTTCCGAGGAAATTGTTTTCTTGTAATAAAGTTGCTTCGCAAAATACAATAAAACCTTTCCTCTCCCTCCGTTTCATTTGAGAGTTTGGACAGTCCAAAACTTGAAATATTCATTAAGGTTTGAGTTTTATGTATGCTTCCTAAGAAACAACACGTGACTGGTTTTTATGGTCAACTCATTCCTCGTCCATAAACCATTGTTCTAGGAACACATTGACGCGATGATTGTTTATCAGTAGTACTTCAATCGTGATTCCACAATAATAAGAACATACAAGTTGCCATATGTTGTTGACATATTTGTACCCTGAGAAAAAGAGATAAAAGGACCCCTTAATAATTGCTTGGCTGGACTTAGTATATTCCTTACAGATTTAGGTGTTCCTCCTGCTTTATGCAACCAGTCCAAGTCCATCAATAAAAGATTTAGCTTTGTTCAATGCACAGTTCTACTGTTTTAAGATTAAATCACAATCAATTTAGTTTACGCAATTTTTTATCAGTCAAGTTTGGATGACTCCCACTTTATTCTTTTCACTCATAAAAATGAGGCCGAGCAAGAGATTAGTCTGAAGGTGCATAGAGTGGATGAAAGTACCATCACAAAAACTAGCATTTTCTCCTTTTTACCATATGAAATGTATAATTACTAAAGCAGTTATGAAAAACAAATCAAAAGAATTCCATTTTCAACCATATACTATCTCGGCTGAGGATGGGACAAGGCTTGGGTTGTGATGGTTGATTCTGCTGTTGATGAAGTTGAGGGCAGCACCCTTTTCTCTATGACAATAGAGTAGCGGTTGGATCCTCCAAGGCTGTCAATGGACTTCATGTATTCTGATGCATTATTTTCTATGATGAGCGCATCCTCTAACTCACGGACAATGTCCACCATGCTTGGTCTATATTCTGAGAAGGGTTCAAGACATTGCAGTGCTACTTCCACCACTCTCCACATTGCCTCTGCATGGTATCCCCCCTTGATGCCAGGGTCCATAATTTCTTCCATCTTTGATGCTCGTATATATGGCTTAGCCTGCAGTGCATGCAAAGTTATTTCTCAGTGACGTGAGCAAAATGTGATTTAGTACAATCCAGTAAAACAAAACATTTAGGACATGGAGCATACCCATTCAACCAAGCTCCACTCATTCCGTGGTCTCTTTATGTCAAGAGGTTCCCTCCCAGTCAGAATTTCAAGTAAAACCACACCATAGCTGAAGACATCACTCTTCTCAGATAATTGTTGAGTTTTGTAATATCTGCAATGCATGGGGATAAAATTCTGGTATTGTCAAAGTTGTTTAGATCATAGTTGCATTTTGCAACAAAGGAAAAATTGAGTTGAAGTGACAGATTCTTCTTCGTCTCATTTGAAATCGCACAGATTATCATTTGTAATTTGTCTTATGTATTGAACCGTCTTGTTTCTATAAACGTTTATGAATGAATATACACTTCTTATAGGAAATTCTATTCAGAGACATTTCTTCAAGCTGTCTGTAGTTGACAGGGTTTCCATGACACACAACTCAATTGGTACATGATAGGAGGGTAAGCATTTTTTTTCAGATATTATTTGTGTTTAAGGGCCTTTCCTTTTTGAGATGATTCCTAGAATCCTTCATGTGGGTAGTGTTAATAATTCTTTTTCTCAAAGTGATGGAGTAAAGCAGTATTAGAAGTTGAGGTTAAGACATGATCGAAAATGTCCACTTACTCAGGATCCAGGTACCCTGCAGTTCCTCTGACTTCAAGAGAAACGTTACTGTCTCCTTCCTGAGGAGCATATTTTGAGAAACCAAAATCGGCAACCTTGGCGCACATGCTATGATCTAGAAGTATATTGCTTGATTTCACGTCCCTGTGTATTACTGAACGTCCTGGAAATGTGTGAAGATATGCCAAACCTGCTTGCTAAAATATTTGTTAGCATTCAACATGATATGGATGAAAATGAAAATTGTAACGAAGAGAGTTAAGTCTAAGGATGCATCGTGCCATGTTTCTCTATATATCAACGTAGATTTATGATGAACCAATTAGAGCATTGTCAGATATTACTTGGTGAATATTGTCTTTCTATCTCTCTCTTCTACTGTATTGCAACTATGAAGAAAAACTATCAATGATGTGGTTTCTGCCCCTTCCAGTAAATCTCACCATGTTTCCTTTATCTAAAATTCTAAGGAAAAAGTTTCACGAACACCTTCTAATCTTCCTGTCCCTATTTAAAACCTAATAAATTATTTTATGCAATGATAGTCTGACTAAACTTTATCTTTTTTTAGATCTTAACATCAAGAATTCATGAGCTTTCTCCTCTTCCAATTTAAATCACTATTTTCTAGATTTAATGTTTGAAAAGATTATTGTCAACACTCAACATTGTCAATAACAGAAGCAAAATTTAAAACAAAAATTGATAAATTGTTTGAAGAAAATTGAATACTTGTAGAGTGTGTCCAAAGTGTTGCCATTGGGTATGAAAAATACTATTATGAAATGTATGCTCTTTGTCGGATTCTTCTGGTATTCCCCCTCAAATATCTTCATCCTAATCATTTTAAGCTAAAAGGTGGCAGAAACCAATCTGATTTCAGCATCGTTGTCAATCAGTGAAGCTTCGTCACTTTTCATGTGATTCCTGGAGTTCTTTTATTCCATAGAATCAATATGAATCATTTTAGTTTATTTTCCTTCCTAATTTGATTTAAGCTTATGTGTTGATTAGGTATATTTGCTGCATCTTAGGAAAAGTAAAACATATATTACTTGCCTCGAGCTGCACCAAGAGCAATAGAGAGTCTAGTTGGCCAGTCTAATATTTTTCTCTTTGCGGGTTCCCCTGTTATAAAATTGAATTTTAGAATTAATGGGTACCAAAACAAATAA